CTCCCTCCCCTCCCTCCTCTTCCCCCAGCCAGCCCCAGCCTGGCCCTACCGGGCCTCTCCCAAGGACCTGGCCTGAGGCCCTTCTCAGCATACATGAATGGACAGGCTGGTCACGCTGACCTGCTGTCTGTTGCTGTGGGACCCCACAGGGAGGGCCCGAGAGGGGCAGGGGCACTGAGGGACAGCTGCACACCTGGCCCCCAGTTCCTGAGAAAAGGGAATTAGGGAGCAGGGACAGGCGCTTTCAGGTAGGGGCTTTCAGAGCCTGGTTCCAAACCCTGTGAGTGGGACTTCCGCCAGCTCCCCACAGATGGCTGTGTACGCTGTGCTCAGAGAAACCACATCCTCCAGATGGACCTGTGGCCCTGGCTCCTGGGCTTCCGTCACCAACCTAAGGAAACCAGCCCGAGGACCTGTTCTTCCCCTCTCCCTCTTGATAAGACTCTTAGCATGTTGCTTTTGTTTACTACCCAGAGCTCTCTACAATTTACCAAACTTTCCCGTCAGCAACTAGTCACAACAAGACGAGTGGCTAACGCTGACAAAATGCCTGTTCTGTGCAGGCCTATGCTAAGCCCTTTCCATGCGTCATCTCACTTCAGTCCTCAGAGCAGACCTATGGTCTGGGTACTGACCTTGTCCCCTCATTTTAGAGATGCAGAAAACGAGGCTTAGAGAGGTTCATTAACTTCCTCAAGGTCACACAGCCAACAAGTAGAAAAGCTGAGGTTTGGACTCAGGCCTGTCTGATTCTAAACCCCAAGCTTTTACCCATTCAGCTCTACCGGCATTTTAACCATATGGCTATACCTTGAAGTAAGTCATAGCACCTTTAAGAGGGCCAGGAGAAGCCAAGTGGCTTGCCCTTGTCACACAGCTGGGGCTGTCCACCTGCAGATCTTTTATCTTTCTGCTCCCCCCTCTACCCACAGTGAGCGGATGGCCTCTAAGGAGTACAAAGAAGGGGATTCCTCAGAGGCATGTGCTTGAAAAGCTACCTTTCCCACATCCTGCTCACGGCCTTCCCCCACCGACCCAGACTCTATTTACACCCCGGTGTGGTTGCCACAGCAGCTGAGACTTCCCTGTTTCAGGTCCTCCTGAAATGAGAAGGTGGTAGAAACCGTGTGCTTTCCGCTGAGACTGGGTGGTTTCCATGGAAACACCACGCCATCCTCCAGCCCGGAGTGTGGCTGAGGGCCACAGCTGAGCCACGGGGACTGGTTCAGCGTGGAGCTGATGTCTTGGGATCCCAATGCCCACGAGGCTGTGTTGGGAGCCCAGGGAGGTCACCCTGGCAACCAGGCTGTCCCTGAGCCGGGAGCAGTGAGACAGTGAGACGATGCTCACCATCCTCCATCCCTGCAGGCGGCCTCTGTGGTGTCTGACTGCACTCACTCACCCACCCTCCCTCTTTAAACAACACTTCCCTTCCTTGGGGTCAGCATCCCTCAACCCACCCACAAGCCTGGAAGCCCTGCACCCCTCCCCCCCCCACTGCTACAGGCAGGCAAAGACCTAGGCTGCCCCTTTAATGCCTTCCCCATCCTTGGAGCAGCGAGTGCTGCAGGGATGGGTACGTGTCCCTGGCTCACGCACATACGAGCTCTCTCTGCTAATCTGATGCAAGGAAGGCCACCACCTTGGGCTCTGAGAAGGGAGCCAGCGTAAAAGAGAAAGCTGAGGGTGGAGAGGATGTCCTGCTGGCAGCCTCTGGATACGTGGACCCAGCCGAGCCTGCAGCCAGCCGGCTACTTTCAGTGGGTTACTGTCACAGGCAATCAAGGGGCCTGCCCAGGAAGAACTGCAGCAGTTACAGCCCAGGGCAAGATGAAAATGCAGGGCCCTTGTTAAAAAATGATCAGGAATTTCAAAGCAGCAGCAGCAAAGCAGCAAACCAAGCACAGGACCCTCCTAAGTGTGGGACCCTGTGTGACTGCTCGGGCCACATGCCTAAAAAGCCAGCCCTGGTCCTGCCCAACACCATCCTCCTCTTATCCCAGAAGAGAAAATGGGGGCCCACAGAGTCACAACAACTTCCCAGGATCACACAGCTAGCAGGCGGCAGAGGTATGACTGTAAACCTGATATGTGCAGCTCCAGAACCCCGAGATCTTAACCACAACAAGCCACTCACTGTCTCCCCTGTCCGCTAGGATGACACCTCCCTGCCTTTCCCCGCCAATGCTGTGCTTTATGTAGGGTGAGTTTTCACAGAAAGGTTAAATTAGAAGAGAATTTTGAGTCCGGTGTATCATCTACACGTAAGAATCCTTCTCACACCTTTCCAGGTTCTGCTTAAATGCTCCCTTTGATGGGGAACTCATTACAGGATTGAGGCACCCAGCAGGTGCTATAAGTCTTTGTCCCACTTTTCTCCATGAACCCTTTCCAGAAGGACAGCCTGGACACTTTCTTCCCTAAAGGGAAGAGAAAGGGCGCCTCTCCCTGTCCTGGCTCCAGATGCCTCCAAGCCAAGCCCATCAGGAAGCTTTCATCTTGGTGAGCAGACATCTCACAGGCTATGTTGCCCTCAGGGAACCTATTTTACTCCCTGGACCTTAGCATGTGTGCACAGTGCCTATTTGGGGCTTCTCAGGGGGGAGAGGGAAAGAGAAAGGGAGCCACAGCTCTCCCGACCACCCTCTCTGGGGAGCACATGGCAGTGGGCTCAGACACTGTCATCACCCCCCGCCCCCATCTC